CGCTTCTCTCAGGAAGGTCAGATTCCTGAAAACAGACCCAGAATGCCCTCTGTGATCCTAAAACTCCACCAAAATCTCAATACAGGAGCCCGCAGTCATCCACGTTAGTCAATCACTCAATCAATTCAGCAAAAGCTGATGAGTGTTCAGGCACGCCACAGAAGCACGACCGAATGTGATCAGCGTTCAGGCATTTCATAGAGGCACGATCGATGTTGATGGGTGTTTACCAACAGCCTATCAGACAGCGCGAATCAAATAACGCTAGGCAGTAGCAACTTTCATACTCAACTTTCACACCCTACCTTTTGCAATGAAGTTATTGGGTTCTTTGTTTGTGAGTCTTTTTCCGGAATTAGACACTGGAACGGGGGTAGCAGTCAGATACAACGGTTTCCGTTCACGATTATCTACCGATGTCATAGAATTAATCTCTTGGAAGGCCTCGCTGGCATCAGTTACCCGGGCCATAATGTACGGAGTCATCGAAATCTGTGACTAATTACAGAATGACTCGGGGTCACGTGTCATGATTAGCCTCAGGTTCTAATACAACGACCGATGTAAAACAGCTTAGCCATGCTTTCAATCGTCAGCCGTGTTGATTGCCATCGCATTCCTCTCGGTCTTAATCCGTGACAAACAATTTTTTTATGTAATTTCTGCCTGAGCAACCCATGAAGCTGCCATGATCAGGGGATTGTTGTCCGGACAGGAAAAGAGACCCGAAGATAAGAGAACGATAAGGTTTTAGCGGCTGATCTTTTCGAGGCGTTGGTCCACAGTTTTGTGTGTGTTACCCGTCAAACGTTTTATCTATCCTCGCTAAGGATACTTCTTCAAAGTACACCAGCGATTTTACAAATGAGAACGAACCGGGTGCATGACGTTCTAACACCGGTGGTGTAAGTAGACTCGGGAATGTTCAACTGAGATTTCGTGTCAATCCATGCCGCATTGCACAGCTTTCATCTTCATTGGAGATCATCACTAGTGCACGATTCCGCAGTGCCTCTCAGCTTTTCAGCATACATGAATAGGCCTTCAAGAAAAAAAATCATCATTAGATGATGCCGCCTTGTGGAACAATGGTGTTTTTCGTCTAATCACAGCTGTGTTGCGTCGCATTGTGTGCTTCCCAGTACATATGTACAATGCTGCCCACCAGGCCATGCAGATCCTTCACAAATGGGCAATGTACCAAAATGTAGAACTTCACTCACAGAATCCGGCCACACATCGTTTTTTCCAAATGTGACGTACATATTGGGAAGTGCTTTCTTGCAACTCAGCTGATTAGAACCCACACTCACACCCATCCTAGACAAACTAAACGACGGAGAGCGTTCTGTTTTCGTTATTTTTGTGTGTACAGGCTTCGTTAGGCGTTGTCCTTTTGGACTATTAGGGTATTCAAATACACAACACGAAGTGTATGAATATCTCACAACGGCTAGTGGATCACATGTGATTTTTTTCTGTGCTCGAGGTTGAGTAACATCATTCACACTATGATCACGTGACACTTCCATGTGTTGCCCTGATTTCCATACAACAAACTATTCTTTGACTCGTCTTTTCCGATGCAACTATTGCCTAAATGCACCCGAGTGATATTGACCGATGTAGCTAGTTGACTCCATTGCTATGAAAGACCTTACATGTGTAGGATAAAGGGGGCACCAGCTGTTCTGAGGAACTGGGTGGCCGTTTTAGAGTGAATGATGTCTATTTAAGTCTGAACTCGATAACTGCGAAATGACTCAGTGGTTACAGCGCGGACTTACAGACCGGAAGTTCTGTGGTTCTAACCCGATCTCTGCCCCCCGACTTTTCCTCTCTAGGTTTCAGCAAAGTGGCAGTATCGCAGCCCTTGTGTTTCCTTCAGGTGGCGTGGCAGCTAGACACCGAAAGTGTTACGGCTGAAAGAATTTTTTAACCTGCGTTTAACAACCCATGAAGCTGTATAGGAACTGGGCGAAATTTACTAGCAGAATAAGTAAATCGCATTGTTTAGTTAGTAATATTGGTTGGACAATATGACGCATCTAGCCAGAATAATACCCGTTCAGATATAGAACACTTGGTTTCGTAGAAGGAAAGGGCATCTTAACTTTTTGAGGTACATACTCGTCCTTAGATTGGAATTAGTATCCACTCAGATATGTGATCCACTGAACAGCCATCCTGCGCAAGGCGATATAAATTTCACAACACATCATAGGGCTTTGAACTGATCCTCTAGTTCTACCCAGTACATGAGTATAGTGCTTTTCTTCAACTTTGCAGGAAATAACTTGTACGACGAGTACGTACGGAGGCTTTAGTTAAAACAGTATACAGTAGTCGGAGTTACACGTTGCCAAGCGGCAGTGCCTTGCCATGCATTTCACACCCCTCAGCTTTCAGGGATCTTCAGCTGCCATCCGAAAACTATTTGTTGTGATTTATCTAGATTTTTGTCCCTGGAATTCTATTGATCATTTCCCATGCAGGTAAAATACCTTGATGTTAGTCTGAGGAGGTTTGTGCATTTTCAATTGAGATTATCCCCTGTAGGTGAAATCAGTCTGTTCTAAAAACTCCAAAAGCACTGTACAACTGTTTTTCCTTCATCTAGATTCATCGGTAGTGACATCCATCTCACGAAAGTGGAGGTGGTTTTGAACGCGCGACATTCCGACCGGTGGTTGAACGCTTCACCGTTTGACCGCGAGCAGATAAAATGCAGAGTGATCAACTGGCGCTTAGACATAGCATAGCGCCAGTCATGCTTCAGTCAAGCAAACCACATCACGTGGTCACGCACTGACCAGCTCCCCGAGTGAGGACTTCTCAGAAGAAAGTTCACCATTCATCTCCGAGCCAGTCATGGATTGATGGCTGTGTAAACAAACTTAGAAATTTCGATTGGAAACTATCCATGATGAAAACTCTGGAAGAACTGTGCGGCTGCTTTGTTCCCTCTGGAAATCATCAGCTGTGTGCCCCTCACGAAGCTTCGATAACTTCCACAGCCGCTACCTGCCGGAAAGTTGATGATGAAACTTTACCCATTCGGCCAAGTGGAAGAACACATTTGGATGCTTCTGGCGTCACCTGGTTTGTCACCCAGTTCCCAGCGAATCGCATCAAACAGGTTGACTTTTAGCGAATATACACTCATTTGCAGACTAATTTGGTTCATTCGAGAGACATACCTGGAGCCCAGCTGAATCTCTGGTTTGTGAACATAAGGTAGAACATAAAACTGACGGAAACCCGGGGACTGCGCCTACCTGATGAGCCCCAAAAAGGCCGAAACCGGTCGTGGGCTGTCGACGGATTTTCAGCAACCTTATGAGTAGTACATTACAAAGGTTGACTTCTCCTGCGACAAACCCCAAGTTGCCAGGTCATGTCATAAATTAACGTGAGATCTGAAGATGTAGCTGATGCAGTTCCATCTGAAATATACCCAAAGTTAGAATGAGAACATTCGCTTGAGGGAAGAAGTCCTGTTAAGGCATCCAGTCTTCAAGTCTAGGCTAAATCGAAGCCACTCAGCATAAAGATATTGGGTGGTCAAAAACTGTCAAATTACGAGTCATGTGACCAAAGATGGGGTGAAAGTTCACGACTATGTGATATGGCGTCGCTAATCGCGTTCATGATATTCGATCGACAACCGCTGCGATTTCCCAGGATCAGTGACAATAAGGCAGGACTGGTTAGACCACGGTAGGCAGAGAAGCAGGATCACCCGAGAACCTTGATCATAATGTTCTGAACACACACCACCCTGGTCTTCTCATTCCGACATCTACTGCTTCTGTGTTGATCAGAATCCTGGTTCTGGGTCTCCGTGGTAACTGTAAACCGGCAAATGTTTTGCAGCATCTGCTGGACATCTATTTCTACAAGCCACTTTAGTTTTATTCGTTTTCACAACTGATTTATAGAGCCATAAGGACATGTTCAAACGCTCGACCAGACGAGATTCTCATCGTCTGATTGAAACAGCTTGCTACACAGGAGTATTCAAGTCAACAGACACATTGGAAATGACTGGACATCAAAATATCGGCCGGATCATCGAACAAAATGACCTAACGAGATAGTCTTTCTGACCACGATTCTAATGTTCCACATATTTGCTTCAATAAACTTTAATAAATTATCTATGCAGTTAAACCAGCCCCGCTTAGCTGTGAAAATATTGGTCGTTCACAAAAATTCAATGTTGGTGACCTTTTGGATATATTAAGATTTTTCGGGATGACTTATCACATTTGCAATGCTGAATTTTCATGTTTCAAAGCGAGAAATTACTTTCGGTCTTGTCTTGGGAGAAAAGATCACAGTGTTCTTAAAAGAAGCTCGCCTGTTTACATCAGACTACTCCCAAAAAGGAATTTCACCCTCATCCAAGGTTTCGACATCGGATAAAAGTTATTTCTGTAGAAAAAGTTCCTACTGTACGTTTATTTTAACTGGCTGCCCTCTGCAACCGCACATCGTGCAAAATCTGAACGCCTTCAAACGGAATTTCGATATCGGCTCTCACCCGTTCGGCATAAAATAAGATGAAGGATGAATCTACTCACGTGATCTGCTGTCCATTCTGCGCATTCATATGTAAGTCCTTTGTTCATTTTTGCTAATCTATATAGGCATATTTTTTGTTCGGCTAATATTGTCCTATCTAGGTCAAACTGATACAACTATAAACACATGCCATGTGATGCTACGATGATTGCTTGAAGTTCGCCTTATCAGTATTTAAAAACACTTACACCACTTTGTTTCTAACCCATCGCGTGCGTCCCAGACAACTTTCCATGCGCTTTGAATCACCCAGACGTCTATAAGTTTCAATCTCATCCACACAGCAGTGCCCATTTGGTGGTTATGAGAACTCAATACACAGCATCTTCGCTGCAAGTTTCTCACAAAATCACATCTACGCAACATTGCTGATAATCAATACGATAGCCACTTGACCGGCAAGGCTGATAGACGTGTGAGTGAGCGAGGTAACTGACCAATCAAGTTCAGATTTAGTGTAGTGCTGCCTGGGCGCACATGATTGGTCAGTTTCCCTTTAAGACTATCGCCGACAGCAGCCACTGTTTCTGACCCACAAATGAAAATATATGCCATTGTGGTGATTTGTGCTACAAAGGTGGTGTGTCTTGTCTTTTGATGCAGATAGAAGGACAAACTCATGTAGATTTCCCGAAAGGATTTATTGCGTCAAATAAAAGGACAGGGGACTTGTGGATGATGTTTGGGCATGCTAGATAACGAGGAAATTAACACTTACATACCCCGTTCCCATTCATGTCAGATCACATACCTTGTGATTCCATGCGTTATACTGCGCACAACCTGCTGCGGCCATTCTCTGATATTCTAGTCATTTTTATCTATTTGGGGATCTTCGGTCTGGAGGATGTCGAGGCAACGAGTGGGGCAATCAAGTTGAGTTTTAATCCAGCATCGGACAAAGTGCATTTGGGCGCACCTCTTGTTGTGCGATGTGAACATGACGCCGGATCTGGTGTGGACAATGCAGCTAGCATGTTCCTACACTGTCCTATCGCCCCCTGGGGTGCATTTTGTTTTCAAAACTGCAAGTCTGCTTGTGTAGGTGAGGCGCCCGGGTCGTGTCCGTATGAAAAACAACTAGGAGGCGTTACCTGCAGGACCGTTGTAACACAAACCGGCCATGTGACTTATGAATACACTATTCAAAAACTGACCAGAGATTGGCTTGGCACTCTGCCTAGTGGTGAGCACAAGAAATATGGCTTCTATTGTAAATCGGCGGGATCACAAACTCCAGAAGTGTGGCTGTACGAGGGAAGACCGGAGATCACAAATCCTATCACCGTCTCCCTAAAACCTCCGATGACTACAGGATTTAATTTATCCACCAAGGAAACAGGCACATCGACCAACAAGTCTGGCAGACCAGTATCAAGAGACCTACCGGTGGTCATTCAAACGGCTCTTGAGATTCACAGTAAGTCTTTTGATCCTGTTTCCATACTCTGGACCACTTGGTATGACGATCGTTACCCAATCAATACAGACTTATACGTTAATCTTGTCAAATTGTGGTAACCTTCGAAAACACAGGATCTCTACTTACCTCGTCATCAGTCGATTATCTCAGAAAAAGGATATTGCCTTCATCTTTTATACAGAAAAGACCACAATAAGGAAACAAATAATCACGATGTTTTGCTTTGAGATGAATCTACCACGAAAGACGTGAGAATCCTTACGATCCCCAAACAAAACTACCGATATAGAAAAAGAAAACTTCAGCAAGACAGCCTCCCGACGTCCTTTATTTTTTCGTATAAAGTGCTAATTAAATAAAGTGTTTGTAGCAAGTAACTTCGAGGAATTGTCCGACAAGAGGAATAAAGTGACCTTGAAAAAGTCTATTCCATAGTTCTCCCGTCCATGGTCTCTCCTTGCCAAAAATATCGCCCCTCTCGTTAAGTGGGAGCAGTTCCCGAGTCTCTCTCAACCTTATGTTCCAATTAAGCTTTATTCATTTCTCTTTAAAAGCCTAGATAGTGGATGAAACCATTAACCGACGTTGCTAGGGTTTGTCTGTTTCTAAGCAAATATTACCTAACCGATTTGATGTGTCTTCCTCTTTACCCACTGGAGGGTCTCTTTGTTACGAACAGGTTGACTCGAACATCTGTTGTCTTTGAAGCGTTTTGTTCCAGTTGGATTTCTCCAGAAAAGTTAACAAAATTAATCTAAGGGAAATTTAAGGAATGCCTCTACGGAATTCCATTTATTTCCGACGGTGTGGTCAGCGGACGGGAATCAACCGCCTAAGTTATTTTTTATTGTGTAAAAGCCCGCCAAACAGTCCTTTTCGTCCGCGGCCATAATCAGCCGTGATTTTAGATCACTAACACCCAAAATGAAGTAGTGATAAAGGCCTAGAGGTTTTTTTTCTCTCGACATTTAATAAACAAGTGTCTTTCGGACAGCAAATTACGCCAGATGATCCAATGAACATCATCAAACGGCCACTCTTACAAAACTGAAAAAAATACTGAACCTTGCGGGACTTTTACTTCAAGTTCAGATAGAGCTCCGGTTGTCATCATTGTCTGCTGCGACTGAAGGCTAGTATACATAAGATCACGTGACGTGAATTTCGTCACCCAAATGGGGCTTGGCACCACACGTGTGAGATAATCACGCCGCTCATTGCCTGTCGATTCCAAGTAGTAAAGAAACAACTTTTCAGTGATCCTCGAATCCTTAACACAAATTAAGCCGGCATCTCGGTTGAAGTTCCGAGATCGCTTCACACTACTATTAAACTTTAATTATGCTGATCAGAAAGTAAATTACTTCATTACGTAAATTAAACTTTTATATGAGGATTCGATACTCGGCTGACCAGTTAACCCGTGAACAGGTAAGTTGACTCACGTGAGTGGACGATGAGCGGTAAAATATCGTATCTAAGCGAAAGATGACCAGCCTCCCGAGGCCGAAATGGTCTTTGAATGGTTGCCGCAATTTGCGAACTAAAAATGCTTCACCGGAAGAAAATTTAGGTACCCAGCTTTAAATGACCTTAAATGCACAAGGTACGATATCGGTAGCTTGTAGTTCCTATTCATACTCTCACTCCACCCAGCTGTGGAAGTTCCCAATCAAAGCTGATGATCTTGTAATAAAGTGTTCGGAAAAGAACAGACTTTCCGAGAAATCTGCCAGTTTAACTCGTGATTTGTACTCATGAATTAATCGAAGTTCAGTTGAATAAGTCATGTATGCCCGAGAGTGGAATATGACAGCACAAAGCGGCCAGCCTTGGCCGTGTTTTGTATGGGTGGTTTGAAAAAAGCCACGTGGAGTTTGTGAATCCTCTGTGATCAAAACACATCAATAAAAACCGCTTGTCATGAATTTAGCTTTTGCGAGAGATTGCTTCTTTTTCCCTTCCCCACCACTTTTCATTTTCCTGAGGTGCCACGGATTAATTCTGTTCCCCGTATTTCGACTCACGCAAAACAATCTTTGAAAGACAAACATTTATGCTACTGAATTATTTTTAAGTAAATGTTTTTCGACTGAAGCCCACTTACAAAACCGCCAACCATTTTTTACTCCGTCCTGAATTCGGTAAGCCACACATCCTAGTACCGCTAGATTCCCACTGTTTTACAGAAGCTTGTACTTGCTTTGCATCAACTAAAAAGGCGGTGAGAATCTTTCCCAAGCTGCGTCATGTCCTCTGCCCTAATCTAACAGTCTTCAGTGCTCAACCAAGTATTCCAACTTTTTCGCCTGGTGTTTCCATGGGACCGCTGAAAACTGTTCATACACAAGGCTAATCTGGGCTACTCTAGTAACGTTCCGTTCAGCTGCGAAAGATTGCAAGGTAGCTCCTAACAGAATCATTGAGGATCTCACTTTGAATAAATGAAAGCTCACCTGCTGACCACAAGATCCAAATCTTAAGGCTATTGTATGTGAGCAAATAGTTTTTTGTACAGCTCTTATGATTCTGTCTACTTTTTCACCTTCCGTAAGTTGATTTTATTCAAAAATTTACCAACTTGTTTCAACTTTGTTTTCAGATAACGTAATTTTTGGATGTCTTAACCGGTTCTTTGTTAAGCACACTTTCATCACCTACTAGATGGAAAGAATTTGTGATGAAATGGTGAAGCATGCGAGTACAGGCATTCACCATTCCTATGAAAAACCAAGTTAGCTTTCAAAAAGGCAGTTGTCATTGACCTCCGGAAGTGGATTTATGCCAGCATTAAAGTGTGGAATCAACGAACATTTCCACTTGCGTACACTAAACTAACACATGCTAAAAAAACTTTGAACAACAGCAACGGAATTGCTTTAGGCGGGTATGAATGACGGAAAGGATATTTTAGCGACACAACCCTATACTACTTAAAAGGTTACTAAGACCTCCCTAAAAGCACGCCAGCTGCGTCTCCATCCTTAGAGTTCAGTAGGTAACGATAGTCCCGAACTTTTTTCAACTGTTTGATCCACTTAAACTGTAGGCAAGTTGTGGGACACACCACTTTCAAAATGGAGTACAAGCTGTCGTCCATGGTATTGATTTGAGCGCACAGTTCAAACCTGTGACAGTGCATTGATGTGTGGAAGAATTTGCTCACACATGCAACCGGGTCAACCAACATAATTGCGCATAGTTGTAATGCAGTCAAAGGCAGGAAATCCGTCACTAGGATCGACTGCTACGAAATAACTAAATCTGGAAACAAGTCTGCTTGTCATCGGTGGGGTCCCAATCACCCGGCTGACGAGTGATCGCCGGTTGAGGAATGTTTTATCACGTACGACCGACTAGCGATCTGAAGCCTTCGTTTGTTGAATTCCACAAACCAGAAGAGTTGTTCTGAAGCGGGGTGTGAGTTGAAAGCATGCAAATAACGCAATAGGGTGGCGGCGCGTTAAGTTGTGCAGCCTCATTTATAGATGTGGGTGGTGAGCATCATTCAAAAACCAAATTGATGGCTTTCTCTTTTATTCAAAAGTTGACCTAATTACCAGTCTAGATACAAACAACTCATGATCGTATGCAGTCACCCAATGGGTGAAGAATGACTTCAGGATATATATTTTAAAAAATAATCGTTCAGGTGTAACATCCTAGCTGCTGCGCCACCGAAAGAATCACGAGGGCTGGGATACTGTCAGGTTGCCCAAGCTTGGACAGGGGAAGTCGAGGTGCAGAGATCGGGTTCGAACCGCAGACCTTCGGTTCAGTAAATTCGCGCTCTCTATAATGAGCTATCTAGCCCCTAATATATATAGTGTCTGTGGGATAAAGTCCCGTCTTTTCACTAAACGACGCGTAGAACCTGAGAAAATATGCCAGTTCATTGTACAAAAAGGCAAGGCCTGCTACAGTGAAAATAACTTCTGTCACGTGACAAATTTAAAAAAGTTTTCATAGTTTCGCTTCGGAAATGCACAGCTGAATGAATTCGTTTTGGTTCTGTTGGTTGCTGTGAGCCATACCTTGCAAGTTTTCCAAAAAGTTACAGGTAGCAAAAATATTAATCTACTGATTTTTTGCGCTGGTAATATTCTATTCCTTTCGCTAAGTTGTTTTTTTTGTTCAAAACTGTTGAAAAGGCTTGCGCTGGCTTAGAAATGTCCGTTTCAAAGTAAATCCTGTTTACTTTTCGTGGAATTCAAGTGACACCCTCACAAGATCTCGTATCAGATGAAACTCTCGAATAATGGCTCCGTTAGGAAATCTGTTCTAGAAGAATAGGAGCAGTCTTTGTTAATGCACTGTTGATGATGGCCATAATATAATTCAGAAGGTATATACGCTAGTAAAAGTTTTAAGTATGGTTGACAGTAGTGAGTTGCAACACGTATAAAAATAAATAAAATGCTAAGTGGGAGCAAGTCAAAAAAGGAACTTATCGTCTGTGAGAGTTCCCTGGTGAAAGTCCGGACGGCGGGAACTTGTTTTCTCCACATTACGACTGCTACACGTGTTTCATAATTGTCCGTGAACTTGTGGACAGTGTTTGATGTCGTGCTCCCTGGACGCGCGAGTCTTTTATTGCTGATTGTGTTCGGTTTCCCTATATTTAGAGTACGTGGTTGTGTCAACACATGAGTTGTTGCTATGCTCACGAGACGATGCAGACAATCGATGTCCGATGAGTCACCTTAATGCGACGTGGTTTGTGAGTATGAAAAAAGACGTCCCGTGATCCAGTGAGCGACTGTGAGCTGAACAGCGAGGTATGTGAATGACTGGGTTGCCACATCTTCCACTGCGATTTTCACGCAAAAAGTTCCTTATCCTCAAGGGCTACGGTTTGGAAACCAAACCAGTTGCTGCATGACACTGGAAACATGGTTGTCTTTGTTGGTTAGTAGACGACCTGTTAACCGAGCTGAACGAGTAAACCGCCAACGTGGCATCACCAACCAGGGACTAATTGTCAGCACGCTGAAGAA